TTCTTTTCCACATAACTCTTGAGGCCTGTTATTCCTGGCCAAATTTCTGCCATAAATGTTTTAGTTTATTGGTTAGTAGTTAGATAAAAGTCGGACCCTCAAAACTCATTCCAGGGATAATTAACGTTAATTTACCATCTTTCGGAGTAATAATCATTATCTTACTTTTAAATATAATAACTACCTATTAATACACCAGGGATAGCTCGTCTTGACATTACAGACCGGACTGGGAGTATCGTACGTGAATCGAGATCTCGGTTCTGTCCCTACTTGACATTGCTTACTTACAATTTTAAAAGAGTAATATGAAATAGAGTTTTACTTTATAAAATAGAGTTTCTATAGTGTATTATATTTAATAATATAACAAATAATATTTTAGTTATATGGTATTGAGTATGTTGGAAATGATAAAAAAAGTGAAATATGTTTCGAACGTGAAGATAATTGTCCTTTTTTAAATAAATACCTTGGAATGTATTTTTATTTTGATGGAGCTAAAAAACAGGAACAAGAAACTGGAAATTATTCGGAGGAAGAAAGTGGGAATAATGAAGGTGAAAATGTAGAATCTGTACAAGAGACCGAACATAATGAATCGGAAATTGGAGGGTCTGATCAGCAAGGTGACCATAATGAATCTGAAAATGAAGGGTCTGCCAATGAGCAGCAAAGTGAGCATGGTGGCCATGAAATCGGAGGTTCTTCACATCAATCTAATGTTATGGAAGATGAATATGGAAATACACACTTTAATGATGAGCATGGAAATCACCACATTTATGATATTCATGGAAATTACTACGTTTATGATGCAAACAATAAATTAATTTACTTTCAACCAGGTCAACCTTGAATTATCAAGGGAGTAACTTCTATATAATTTGTAATTATATATTTTATATTAAAATTATAGATTTTATTTTTGGGATATATCCTTATTTTGAGTATCATTATTATGTATGGTTAATCATTATTTGCCGATATTATTCCAAGAAATACTTGATTTAATTGAAAAAAACTAAATATTCTCACTTATCATGAAAGGCAGACGATGCAATAAGCAATTGCATCTAGTTTCAGACTACTAATTTATTTTGAAAATGTTTAAAGAAATCGTTATTTCCTAACAGATTTCTGATCTAAAAAGATAATTTTCACAAAAAGGGAAAATTTCTACTAAGAGTGTAAATGTGAATCGTAATTCAATGATTAATAATGATATTTAAATTAAAGGTTTTTGGGTTTTATTTCATTTTTTTTTATTTTTGGGGTTTATTTACCGTATTTTCTCTAAAATAACCCCCGGGGGTTTTTTCGATCGCCCTCTAGAGGGGAGGGGTAAGTTTTGTTTCCGCCCCCCCCCCCTTTTTCCCGTTTCACTGACCATTTTGAACTTTTTTGTTTAATATATAGTTTATATCATTCGAAAGAACTCTTCGAGATTTGTTAAATGATACCCCAAGATCGGCTAAATTTGATGATTATTACCAAAATTATGAAGCTAAATCATTGCTGGAGGGGGGGGGGGGGCTATTTCAGAGGGTGAAGGTTATTTTAGGGAGGGGAGTATTTTAGAGAAAATACAGTATTTGTTGGAGGGTATTATTATTTTAGAGATTATTTACAGGGGTTATTTAATTCCAACAATTTATATACCGTAATAACTATTATTAACTACCCTGGGTAATTATTGTTTTGATCTCCCTCTACATGGGGTATTTAATACAGGTGGGGTAATTAATTCAGGGAGGGACATTAGTACAGTTTTTACGGTATACTCTTTTATTTTTATAAAGTTTAACATAGAATCATTTTTCAAACAAAGCGTGGCACTAAAAAATTTAAAATTTAATATTAAAAATTCTCCCAGTTTAGTTAAAAAATATTTAATTAGATACGAGAATTCTATATTTTTGGGGTCACGCTTGTTATTTTTCCACAAAATTATTTTTTAAGAAATCAGCAAGGGATATGCACAAATTTTTTTTGCTTACAATACTCAAAAATATTTTTTAGAAATAATTAAACTAAAATTATTACTAGCTCATTTTTTAGTCTAAATTCACAGGAGATTGAAGAGAAAATAATATTAAATTATTATATGTATATACCTACATAGTTTTTATTCAATTTTTGAGTTTGTAAGATTTTTTTATTGTGCTCATTCCTTGCGTTCTCTACAAAAATTGCGAAAGAAATTTTTTTATTTAATTTAAAAATGTATTTACAATTTTTTCATCATCTTTTTGATCTTTATTTAAATATTTTTTTCCTTTCACTCCTAAAATAATTTTTGTTATTTTCAGCCTTTGACCAATCTACATCATCCTTTTTATTTTATAAAATTTTAAATTACTATTATCAATCTTTATGGTTTTTGTTAATTTTTAACTCTGAATATTTTTGTGTGGTCCTCTAATATTGGGAAAAATTTGCAAAATTTCCAACAAACTAAATTTACTAAATTATTCTTAAATTCCTTTAAAATTTTTAAAATTAATTAAAATTATTCTATTTTTTTAGTTTTAGAGATTGTATTTAGTATATTGATTTAAAATTAGTAGTATTATATAATTTTTGATTGGATAAATTATTTATTTTTAAAATTTGTTTTTTATTAATTTAAAATTCAAGTTAAAATTATTGTTAGAATTTGCTATAATAGTAAAAAATTGAAAAAATTTTTGACAATATTTAAATAACAAATAAAGTGGGGATAAAAGTTATATTATTTCATTGCCTAAATGCTACCCCTACACCTCATAAGCTTACATCTTTAGTCGAAAAGGTGTATTTTATGGTTTAACCTAATATCGAGCAATTTTCTTAGCTTTTTCGATGAATTTTCAAGTAAAAAATTCAAAGTACAAAAATTTTAATAAAATTTGATAAAAGGTAACTTTATGTTATTTTCATGAAATTATTTAAATGATATCCGGAACCAAACTTTTTATCAAAGTAATGAAGTTTCTTCGTTACGTAGGGTCACTGAATAATTTTCTGTGAGACAAATCTATTGTAGCGGATAAAAATATTGTAAGGCGGACGCAGGATCTTTCATTTTTTGCACCGCAAAAAATATTGAGAATTTTGGGAGGCTCTATTAATTGCGAAAGAAGGAAGTTCTGTTAAAATCATTTCTACGCACAAACTAGACCAGAGACAAAAAATTGTCTTCAGTCTTGTTATTTATTTTTGATCTTGGAGTCAAGTCTTGGTCTTGTGCAGTATTTAATGAATCATAACTTCGTCTGAAGTTGTTGAAACAATAATTTTGATACCATTCGATTTGGCTCGACTAAGCTCGAAATCGATGAATTCTCAGGACCATGTCAATCCAAGGAACGGTAGGCTTCCTCCTATTATATCAGGGCCTTTTCCTAAATTAATTCATAAATTAAATAACCATAAATTTTTAGAAATAAAGCTCCCAAGCAGACGTGGGCGAAACGTTTCGTTTCGTTTCGTTGTTTCGTATGTTTCGTATGATTTTTACTGTTTCGTCTCGTTTCGTTACGAAACACTTTTAAATTTGTTTCGTTTTGTTTCGTTACGAAACACTTAAAATTTTTCAACGAAACGAAACAATTTTTATTGATTTTTTTTAGAAAAATGACTAGCAATAGCAAATACACAAATTATTTTATATTTGAAAAAACTAAAATTTCCTGTCGGCAAGAAAATTGTGATTATTTTTATGCACCGAAAAATGAAAGTGGTTTTCCAACGACTTCTTTGCGTAAACATTTAGAGCGAAGGCATCCATCAGTGTTTTCTGAGCTCCTCCAATTCGAAAAATCAGAAAAAGAGATGGGTGATGGAACAGAAAAACTTAAACAGACAAGTTTAAAAAGAATATTTTCCATTTCTGCCGGTTCGGCTTCAACATCCCAAGGAATGACAACAACAAAACAGCCGAAAATAGAAGAATCATTTAGTAAGAATTAATCAGATTTTGATATATAATAAATTTTTATTTAAGAACAATGGACAGCAGATGGTGAAATGACTGAAAGAGTTGATAAAGCAGTAATTTCCTTGATATGTACTGCTGGTCTTCCATTTTCTTTCGTTGAAGAGCCAGGTTTCAAAAATTTGTTACATATTCTGCAACCACAATACAAAATCAGGTTTTTTGAATTAACATTTTGAGATTAATTTGAAATTTGAGGTCAAGAAAATTTTTTGTATATGAATCATTGCCAACTATGTATCAAGACATGGTGGATGTTGTAAAAAAAGATGTTTTTTCTGCTCCTTCTGTTTCATTGTGCATTGACTCGTGGTCCTCAGAAGAAAGCACGCATTCCTTACTTGCCGTAACTTGCCATTTTCTTAAAGAAAATTTCGAACCTAATCATGTTTTACTTGCCGCATCGCCTATTAAAGGAAGTCACACAGGCGATAAAATAGCATCTTTGGTTGCTAAGGTTATTACTAACTTTGGAATAGACAAAAAAGTACATATGGTTATACGTGACAACGAGAGCGCAATGCAGAAGGCAACTAGAATCGCCGGTCTTGAGTCGCAACACTGTTCTTCACACAAAATTCAATTGGTTTGGTAGTATTGAAAATTTTAACTTTTTATAACTTAAGGCAATTGGGGATGGATTAAAACTTTTGAGCGGTTTCAAAGAAGTAATAGAGCGTGTAAAGAAAGCTGTAAGAAGGATTAGAAAGTCTCGTTGTGCAAGAGATGAATTTGCAAAATTACAGGATGAACTTGGTCTTCCTCAATTAAATCTAAGAAAGGTTTTTTTTTGAAATTCAATTATTTTGATTTTTGATTTAAATAGGGTATAGAAGTAAGATGGAACTCGACATTTTTAATGTTGGAAAGGTTCACCAAATTTCGTGAAGTGATTCAATTAATGCCGGCCCACGATAATAAATTTCCAGTGTTCAGTGAACTTGAATGGAAGCTTATGCGAACGCTTTGTCGTATTCTTTCACCAGCATACAAAGCAACTATATTTGTTCAAAATAGAAAAGCAGGTTAATTTAAGGTCTTTTTTCCATCGATTTTGTATTTTAGGGATAGCGGGAATTTTGCCGTTATTTTCACTACTTGAACGAAAAATGATTAGCAGCGAATGGACTGCAGAAGACTTTCCAGTGGTCAGGGAAAAAATTGCAAATTCACTTAATGAACGAATGCGAGGTTTTATTTTAATAATCTACAAATATGTAAATTTTTGAAGATTGGGATTCAAATAAGAATTTAATTCTTTCTACTATTCTGGACCCACACTATAAACTTTTTTATTTTGATGAGTTTCAATTTTGGGGTTAATTTTTGGGGTTTTAAAGCCTTACAACTGTTTACCGTATTTCCTCGATTACATACCCTCCAAGTAAGGGTAAGTAAATGAGTTTAAGTAATAAACCTCCTCTTGTAAAGTCCGAAACAGTGTGTAACATAATTATAACCCCACCTAAGATTTTTTAATTTCTTAAGGTTCTAAAATTTCTGTGAGAATTTCCATTGATATTGAATAGAAAAGTAAGAAGAACAAAGTCTATAAATGACATTTTCATTGAGACTCTGTACCGGGAAATGGGGGTACCGCAAGAATACGCATATAAATATCTATCTTACAACAATTTACAAGATTGAAGGATTAAACTAAAATTATAAAAATTCACTATATGTACAAATAAAGTTTTCAAAATTTTTAAAATTAATAATTATGAATCTCATTGTGTTTTGTTAAAATTTTGTTCGTGAAAATTATTCTTATCTAATTATTTAATTTTACAAATTTCGTGTAATTTAAGATTTATACCTTCTCTATACGGAACCAATTCACTCAAATTTCTCTGAAAAACTTTATTTGTGGTTTCCTTCTCCTTCTTTTTTCCTCCAAGTAAATTTTTAAATCCTTTTGTAAGCGTTTCTACTCCTTTATTCAGAGTATTCCGAATAATTGTGTCGCCAGAATCGGTTGTTCCAAGAGACATTTGTTTGGGTTCATCACGCTTTAATTTTCTTGAACGACCAAATCTACTCTTTTTTTGTTTTTCCATTCCACAGACCGTGGTCAACAAAAAAATTAGAAACAAAATTGATGGAAAACGCAAACGCATTTTCCTATTTTTTAGAATAAAGAGCTGTGGATTTTAGTCAGTAAAACACTAAAATTAAATAAGATAACAAAATCAGTGAATATAGACAATGTAAGAATATATTTTATTAGTGAATCGAAATTCGAGTATACAAACATTATTAGTTTATAAAGTCAAAACTTAATTTTGTCTTTATAAAAAATAATACGAAAATAATAATTACTGATGCGAACTTTTTTATAAAATTTTTAGAATTTTTGGCTCAGGTCTAATTTATAAGTCCAATGGAGGTTTGTGATCTTTAATGTTAATTTTCGAACTTTAGGGGTATCAGATTCGGCGGATTAGGAAAAATTAATACTCAGCGGATTCCATGCGATCAGAGGTGGGTCAGAAATGACGAAGGTGACGTAAATCGGAAATCGGAAATCAACCTAATTTTCTGAAGTCGGAGATCGGAAATGCCAAACGACAAAATGCCACAGAAAAATAGCATTACTCGCGCCAAAAGGACCCCCACCCAGTGAAAAATGCATATTTTTCTCTTTGGACGAAGTCTTGGTCGGACTTTTGGCTGGATGCAGTTTATGTAAGACGGAATATTGTCGGCCGTTTTGTCTGGTCAAGTATTACCTGCCACTGAATGCCTTATTATTTGAGAGTTTAGAATAATTTAAAATAAAAATATATAAACTGTCTTCATCAGATACCTGGTATTACCAATTAAAATCTTGTTTCCCACTTTTATGTTCCGTTAGCCCTTGAGAAAGGCAATATAATAATTAAAATTCTTATTCTTTATTTTTTTCCATTTTTTAATTGCTTTATAAAATTTTGTCTGACTTATAAATTTTCATTGGACTCATAAACAAGACTGAAGCCAAATTTTTATTTAAAAAACTTTTAAACTTAATTTAAAATCTAAACATATTAAATTCGATAATTTTTACTAAAAACAAAAAAAATATTGATACAAAACAATTAAATACCTAAATTTAATTTTTGTTTTTAACTTTAAATTTATTTGTTTAGGAAAATTATTATAAAACCTATTTTTTGTATCGCTGCAAATGAAATATGAATTGGGGGGGGGGAGAGGGAAGAAGGGATGGAGGGGGGAGGGATGGAGGGGGGAGGGATGGAGGGATGGAGGGGGGAGGGATGGAGGGATGGAGGGGGGAGGAAATAAGAGAGGGGGAGGGGAGGGAAGAAGAGAGGGGAATAATTTTTAATTAATTTTAATTTTTTAATTGACAAATAATATTGACTAGATTTTACATAGATACAAAAAAATAAATACAAACTACAATTTATTTTTTTAATTTTCTTGTACCGCAATCAATAATCTATTTTAAAAATAATTTTTAAAATTTAAAAGGGCAAATTTTTAAAATTAAATGTAGACGTTTATATATTTCTTAATAAGTATTTAAAAAAAAATTTTTTTAATAATAAAGCTGGAGCCCGAACGGTATCAGACTACCGACGGTATTCTTCGGGGTATTTATTGGTAATCTGTACAGTATCGGTAATACGGGACGGAAATCGCCCATAATGACCATAATAAGGTACGTCAAAATTTTGAAATTTATCGGTATTTTTCAGTGTACAGTATAAAATTAAATTCTGGTTCTTCATAAAACTATACAAAATTTTATAAAATTTATTAAAAATTCCATCCAATTAACAAACAAAATTATCTAAGTCCAGAAAGTACATACGCCTTTAAAAAAATAAATATTATTAAAATAATAAAATTATTAGAAACATTGCAAAGGTCAGTGTCGCAACAATTAAGAGAATAACGAACTCTTCCAGAGACTTTAACACCGGAGGCAAGAGTTCTTGTAGCCTGCATTGAATGTGTTTCCCCGTCTGTTGTCTTCAAAAATATTTTAATTAACAAAATAAAATTATTTTTAATTTTTTTTATTTTTTAAAATCAAACTTCACAGGTGTAAGTATCACTCTCAAATCCCTGGCGAAGTCTCGCTTTTTTAATATTATCTCTCCATAAACTTTCACAGGAATGTAAAAGAAAATTTTCTGTAGCATTTAATGTAGTTATTTCTGTATATGTAACACAATAATTGTCCTAAATAAATTTTTTTATTTGTATATACATATTTAGGGAACTTAAATAATGTTAATTTAACGTTAGCTTAATATGTTTAAATAAATCTCAGTCATATTTTTTTATTTTCGAGGATCTTATATAAATTTTAGTGTTGTTAATCGGATGATTAAGAAACCAGAAATCCTTCTTTTAGCTAACTTTTTAAATAAAGTCTAAAAGGTGAATTGGAGATGATATCGGAGGATTAAGATCAGTGAAGGAATTAAGGGTAATATAGAGGATTTGGATGGATTAAGGGAATACAAGTGGATTTAAAGATTAAAAGGGTTTTAAAATGATAAGGGGATATCTTTCATAAATCATCCGAATCCCTCCATATCTAGTGATCTCCCTCAATTCAAAAATAAAATTAGATCAAAACCAAATATTTCCAACGTCAAATATTTGTTTGATCCAATCTCTAATTAAAACAAAGGAAATACTGATCAACTAACCCCTAATATTATCCCGACACTAAATTTATTTAAATTAATTTCTTACATTTTTATCGCATTCTGTATCAATCATTTGAGAAAGAATTTTTTTATTAGACAATTCAGTAACATCATTAGCTACTTCATTGCTAATCAAAGCCATTTTACATTTAAGAGAATTATTTAAAGAAAATAAAGAAATAATTAATAATAATATTAAATAGTAATAAAACATTCTCTCCTTTTTTAATATAAATAAAAAATTTTAATAATTTTAATTTTTGAGTTAATTATTTTATTAAATATAATATTTAAATCTAATTTTTGATTAATTTTGTTATTTTCTATACTAGGGTAGCAACCGACCATTCGGGGGCGAGTGTGTAGGGGATCGGGTGTTTCCCGGTGAAGGCATATCGGGGTTTGGGGTTCTTGCCAAAAAAATCCATCGGGGTCGGAGTTTATACAATTAATTATATAATACATTAATAATTAAGAAGAAAATATTTAACAATGTTATTATAATAATTATTTATTACTACAGTCAAACCTCGATCTAATCTACTCCTCCATTTAACAAAGTTCTCAAATTAGCAAGCCTATTGACTGGTCCTTAATCAAGATTTTTTTCTAAAATTATTCTTAATATAGAAAATATTCTCGGTCCTTTATATCAAAATTAGACTGTAATTAGTTATTAATAGAGTTGGGAAAAAACAGGCCCTAAAAATCCTAACCCTAGTTATTAATTATTAAATTATTTTTGTATATTATTTTGAAAAAATTTTTTTTAGTTTAGAAAATAAAAAAATAAATATAAATATTATTTTTAAATCTTAAACATTTAAATTGTTTTAAAATGAAAATTTAGAAACTAGTTTTAGTTCAAATAAGTTTAAAAAGAACCAATTAATTTTCTTTAAAATAATTTTTTAATTTTGTTATTACTTTTATTTATTTATTGTTTTATCTTTTTAATTGATAAATTATTTATTTACAAAATTTTTATTTAATTTTTAAATTAAAAATACAATTAATTTATTTATAAAAATATTTTTAAAATGATGTTTTTAATAAAATTGTTTCGTTAAATAATAATTATATAAATTTTAAAATTGAAATTTTTTAAATGCAAAGACAACACTAAATATGAAAAAAATAAAAAATATTAAAAAATAATTAAATAAAAAATTAAATAAAAAATTTTTTATATGTAATTCCTCTTCATTTACTATTTACCAATTACTTCAGAAATCTTTTGAAGAAAAATATTTTTCTTCGGCCCATTTTCTTTTAAATCAAGAAGAATTTTTGTTCGAAGTTCGTTAGCAGTCTTTTGATAAATGTTGCTAAAAAGGATAATATTTTATAGGATTAATTCTTTCAAGTTTTTAGTTGATAATAGAGAATATTCTTTTTTTTTTAATTTTTTGGAGTCAACGTCTTACGAGTGTTTGTCACTCTAATTTTCTATACACTTACCCATCAATCATCATTTTATTTAAAGCATTTTGAAAGTCAACACCAAAAGCTTCACTGTCAACTCCATTTTCATTATATAAAACATTTACATAAATTCCAATCCCCAAATGTTCAACTAGGGAAGAAAGGTAAAACTGATCGCCGTTGGTTGGGATACAAATTAAAGGAACACCGGCATATATTGCCTAGAAATTA